ACTGTGGCTGACAGCTTCTCGAATAGTTTGGCCTGGGTATTAGTGGATGGCTTGTTCTCTAGCTGTTGAGCTGGTTGCGCAATTGGTGATCTACCCGTTCCAGCACTGATTCTTCAGCTACTTCAGCTACACTCTCGATCAGCTGCAATGCCTGATTGGAGATGACAGCCTGCGTCTGACGATCGCCGACGGTGTTTCTTCGCCCCTTTGACTAGCGCTCAAAAAGGGGCGGGCTGACACAGCCCCTACGGCTTCTCGCATTGCGTCTCCTCCGACACCTCATGAAATACCACATATTCATTATCGTTCTTCTAGCAGGTAAAAACTTTTTGTGAATGTGTCGTTTCTATCGCTTACTACCTCATGATGCCCCCACTCTACTACCATGGGGAGCTCAACCGGTAAGCTACCGAAAGCTCCCAGCCAGGGCAAATCATTGGTCTGTAGGAGAAGGACACGTCAAGGAATCCCACTCAAAGGGTTGCCTGCAAATGTGAATCAGTTTTGACTGACTCTGACCGGATAAGCAAAATCTCTCCCTCGATATCTCTTCTTCCCCTGACAGCGGCCAACAATGGGATCCCGGCGCTGGCTGCTCCTCCATCTTCACTTCATTCGATTTGGTCGTTCCGCTCGATTCGGATAATCATGATCTGTCGATCTGAGCGGCCGAATGCAATGTTCCTCGAACGATGCGTGACAGAAGAAGTTTCTTTTGACGATTTCGTCATTTTTCAATTGGCTTCTGATGATTCCGGTCAGCATCCCACTATGACACCTCCGCATCGTCACTGAAGGCAATTAACACAGAATCGCCGGAATTAGGATGTGTGGACATTAGTTTATGGTCCACGGAACAGATATACATCGATCAATCTCTTTCTCATCCTCTTTGTAGATCTTTCAGATAAAAGTGGTTCTCGTCTTCCATTAAAGCAGCTGAACGGAAAGAGGCTCGCAAACTTTGACAACATTCTTTCCAGAAGGCGTATTCCAGTTGATAACACGTTTCCAGGTGTCCACTCATGGGACTCACCACACCACAGTTTTCCAGTCTTCGGCATTCTCGCAAATGTTGCGTTCTGCGCCTGTTAGGTGGGATCGTTCCACATGGTTGTCCAATCCACACTGTCTAGACGAGATTTATTTCAAGCTTCCCGGAAGTTACCTTCTTTCGATCAAGCTTCATTCCTCTCATTTGGAGGCGGTCCTCTTTGATGGGTGGAGTATACATAGCGAAAAAGAAAGGGCTACGTGCCATTTGTATTTCTGGCACGGAACAGCATCAAAGAAGTTCACTCTTATGATCCGGAACCGATCGTCGATTTCGAGCAGGAATCGAACGGTGTTGTGAATTCACTCAGGGATCTATATTACTCGCAGCAAGTAAAAGCCTCTATGCAGAAGAGGAGCAGAGCCGTCGCTGCCACATGACGGAAACGGAATCTCAGTTCAACAAAGCTCCTTGCCCTCCAGGGACGATTCTTGGTAAACAGGTCGTCTCGCAGTGGGAAACACTTTCTTATTTCGTTCGCTGCGATAATCATGCGTGCTTGATAAAAAAATAATTGAAAGTTTTGTTTGCTCTTGACTGGAGGTGAAAAGCATGGCGCATCCCAAAGTGTCCTTGACCGACGCTGATGTCTTACCATTAAAGTTCATGAACCAGTCTCCGCAAGCCTTTGTAAACGCTAACCGCCTATACAAACATCAACAAGATTGCGAAAGAAAACCCAGTCTGTGGCTTATCTTAAAAAGGGATTGATCAACGCCGAGAGTATTACCTTTCATTACATTCATTCGTTCACACCAAAACCAATAAAAGGTCTTGAGAAAGTCCAGTTTTAGGGTTACAACTTTCCCTAGCTGAAGATCAAGACGAAAACAACGATGTTGCAGGTTCCAGTTCAGGTTAGTTGACCAAACACCATCTATTGCATTGAGCATGTTCCATTTCCGATTCTCAAACGTACTGGAGAATACTGTATGACAGCAACTTTCAGAGGGTGCTCCTGGAACCGAAGCTATAGATCGCGGAGCACCATCCGCTCAAGAACCAGATGAAGATACTAAACAAGAAAAAAAGGTTTTTTCTACGGTTTTTTAGATGAGCTCCTAAGGGCTCAATTCACAATTCTCCTCTCCAGAAGAGCGACGATACTGCTGCTGAAGATGAAGAAAAGGATGGTTCATCAACGACAACGACAACAACTACGACAGAAGCCCCTCAGGAAGAGTCTTCCGAAGAGGATCCAGCAACGCTTGAACAAATGTGAGGCTTGGTCGTCATCGTTTAATGATGTTAAGCTTTTTTGTGAGGAACATAAGATTTCGCTAGCTTTGCAGCTTAGCTTAGATTCTCCAGCTTAGATTTACCTTACTATTTTCTGGGGTAATCCCTGCTGGTCTCTCACAGAATGCTTTTCCTTGACAAGGGATTCTGCAGAATACCTTTGATTTGTTACTCTTAGTCGGAGATTGATAATGGTCACCTATGCGCTTCGTGGGAAGACCCTTCGGACGACCCTACCCGTACAAATACTAGAGGGCTTCATTTTCAATTGGACATACGCGGCGTCAATGGGTGGGTGCATCTGAAAGAAACAGTAGGTGCATCTGAAAGGAATCAATCAGGCGCCACCTTTCCTTTCAAGGACGCGAAAGTTTCTTCAGTCACATACTGGACATTTCCATGGTGTGGATGTTAGCCATAAATCTGCATAACAAGGCCACTTATGGAAGAAAGAGAGAAAGAAAGAACGATATGATCGACTGGATAACTGGGATTGAAGAAAGTCACCGAAACATACATAGTCAAGGGGCCTTCACTGTCAATTGCTGGCCAATGTTCAGCCAGTGTAAGGGCATGGCTCAAGTTCCGGTTGGTATTTCCGGTTCAGCTACCCCAATTATTCCGATCTATATATTTGGACAGTGAAGTCAAGATGATTTAATGTCGTCGACGAAAGTTTGAAGATCGAATAGCCTCGGTCGGGACTTCGGAGTGCCCTAAAAAGTTTTGAAAAAAGCTGTGGAAGAACGTAAGAGACCGCTCCCGCAGCTAATCAGGATTCCTTAGCCGGCAACCTGGGATGGGAATGTCTGAAAACATCTGGATTGCGAAGTTTCAATTGGAAAGGCATGATGCAAGCATGGGTCACGATCATTCAGTGAATTTCGATTTCAAAAAGGACGATATCTTCTTCCACCGGTTCGGGGATAACAAAGAGAAAAATAGCCCAAGAGGTAGGAACAATGTCGGTGTAGGGCAACTATCGGGACTATTCGACATATAATTTGGTGGTGATCTTACTTTCCCACACAAGCCCTTGGTAGTAACTGCTTCACTCCGAACAATGGATAGAAGGCTTGAACGGTCTAAAAGAATCCCGATCCGGGTTTTGACAATGTGAAGTGTGATAGCGGCGCCACTTGTCACTCACTCATCGCTCACTTAAGAACCGGTTTCAGAAAAAAAATTTTATTTGTTTCTATTATCAACTTTGACATTTTCCAAGAGAATCGATGTTATAAAATTGTTATTTTACATTTTATTAAATATTTCCAGGAGGAAATGTGTTGATCGACATGATCTTTGCAAATTTTGGGCATCAATTGGCGAATGTCAAACGAACAAAGTATGGATGGAAGCTCACTGTCCAGTTTCATGCGTTGTCTGTCACGGTAATGTCGAAGGGGGATAAATCGACAACGAAATCGGTCTATGGGGGCCTTATTTAGGTATAACGGCATGCGTTGATCGACATCGTCTATGCAATTTCTGGACAGCGATTAGAGAATGTGAGACGAATGCTGTTTGGATGTTATCCAATTGTCCCAAATCATGTAAAGCGTGTAAAGGTGAGTATGACGGTCGAGTTGACCAAGTCCTTTCGCCACTGAACACATCGTTTTTCTCCCTTCGGGTTTCCTTTCTTCCTGGTGTTCATTTGTTTGTTTTTATTTGTTTTGTCTGTTTGTTTACTCACTGCCTGTCCACCAGGGATCCGGCATGTGAATCGTCCCAGTTTTGTATGGGATTTGAGAAGTTCTATGAGTATTCCTAGATAACTAGAGGTGTACTGAGGCCTGAACTGTTCATATCCCCCTGTGACTAATGCCAATTTTTCTAGTCCTATTTGTTTATCCGTAGACGTTTCTGGAGGATACTAGTGAATTCTAACCCTCGACTAAGAGGTTTCTGAGTTAATTTTCATGGCAGTAACTATGCCCATATACAGTATCGCTTGGCTTTTGGGCACTTATTTGGCATTATTTTTTGGGAAGCCCTATAAACGTGATGGATTGTAGCCTTGATTTTGGATAAGGCATTAGGATAATTCATGTGCTCACTAGATTACGCTGAGGGTTCACTTGTAATTGTAACATTTAGAAAGCATTCCTGAGACTTATCATTGATTTCTGCAGAGCCACAGTCGCTAGTACTAACTTTGCCGTTTTTTTCTGCTGGTCGATCTACAAAAAGAACTGAGCTTTAGGCAAAACTATAGGTCCCAATGGAGGTTCACGAAAAGATGGCGGATTTCGGGAAGAAGATTGCACATTCATCACAACACATGAAGGTAACCGCTGGAGATCTTTTTGCTGAACGTTCCGTAATTATTCCCAAGCACTTCAGACACCTCTCATCGTCGGACACTTTCCATCAACGACGTAAGGAACAGTAATGCGAACTTTAACTGTGCTCCTACTCAGCAGGCACCGAATTGCAACAAAAATCTCTGCTATCATCTAAGGTTTGTCAGCGTTTTTTTGTGCCATTAAATGAGTCAATTGGATTTGCCGATTATCGTCTGGACGAGTTTACCGTTACTGTTGGTTTCTTGCCATATTGTGTTTCAATTAACTCGGACTTTCGCGAACAGTGAAATTACCCAGACTTTATTCTTCACTGTACCACTCCACTAACTGTAAATTCAGATTCCGCACCTTTGACGGCACATGTAACAACTTCAATCGACCACTTCTCGGGTCAGCATTCACTGCACTGATGCGACTGAAGGCCCCTATGTACGACAATGGTCTCAATGCTCCCACATGTACGTGATTCTTTTTTCGGAACAAGCCGAAAGTGTACGTTTAGAAGTAGTTATTCACAGGATCACTACTGAGGCAACTGAAAATTTACCAACTTATGGGTCCCTTGTTTTTGGGAGTGAAGGAGTTCACTTACAATGAAATAACAAGTCAACGATAAGGCCATCAACTCTTGACTCTCGATCCCCGGACCATGCATATATAATGATATCCCTATTTGACAATAGCTCCCCTCGTTGTAGCCTTTACCAGCCATTTCAAATCCCTACTCCTGAGTGTCGTAGGCCAGATTAGGTTGGTTGCATTGCTACAAACTGAGTCTTCAGGGACCACTGTGAGGGAACCTTTTGCCATGTATTTTTCAAATGTTCACTTTACGCTTGGAAAATTCAACGGTTTTTAGCGTCATTCTCCCGGACCCGTCCATCATCTCGTGATGCATCCCGTCTGCTCCTTTCGTCGGATATCCCTATTTGACAATAGCTCCCCTCGTTGTAGCCTTTACCAGCCATTTCAAATCCCTACTCCTGAGTGTCGTAGGCCAGATTAGGTTGGTTGCATTGCTACAAACTGAGTCTTCAGGGACCACTGTGAGGGAACCTTTTGCCATGTATTTTTCAAATGTTCACTTTACGCTTGGAAAATTCAACGGTTTTTAGCGTCATTCTCCCGGACCCGTCCATCATCTCGTGATGCATCCCGTCTGCTCCTTTCGTCGGCATCACATGTTCGTTTTCGTTCTTCCCGATAGATTCAGCTTTCAGATGTGTATTTCTGATTAGACGACCTTTCTCTGCAGATTCCCCATAGTTCGAATGCACTTCTGATGCAATGGGGCCAATTTATTGCTCACGATATTGCAAAGACAACTATGCTGAACAATCAGGAATGTGCAGCCTGCACATCGAACAAAGGCCGATGCTTCTCCGTGTTTCTCTCCAGAGCCGATCCAACGTGAGTACTCAGATCATACATGCTTGCGGCTACGAATGCTCTTGTCAAAGCGCTTCAAATGCTTTACTCGGGACCTTAATTATTTTCAATAATATGGACTGCACTGTCACTTGCCACTTTACGATCTTTGGCATCTGATCGCACCCTG